TCGGGCAACAATCTCTTTACGGATCTCTTCCCGCAGCTTCACAATGAACTGCAACTGCAACTGAAGGTCATTAACCTTAGTCGATCCATTCTCCTCCTGGGAGGTTGTCACATAGATGTTAGGGATCAACTTCTGCAGATCATGATGGAGATCCAGAAATCGCACAGAGAATTCTTCTACTGTCTCATCGACATTCTGAGACATAGCATTGAACTTGGTGAGTAGATCGAGAGTCTTCTCCTCCTTAGGTTTCCCTCTTTTAGAAGATAGGAAACTCTGAACTTTTTTGTAGTAGTTACGATAGTCCTCCTCTGATTTAGCACTCGTGAGCTCAGAATGATACTGAGACTCAGCTAACCTCACCAAATCGAAAGCCCTCTTATCTTGCATCACTTGCTGTTTCAGCAGAGCAACCCAATGTTTCGTAGGGGTCTCTGTAGTCGCAAGAATGGACCTCAATTGATGCAAGAAGTCATCTAAATCATCCGTCGATCTGTAGACGGGCAGAACGACATTAGGTAGTCTTAGACCAACAAGAGTTGCCGATGACGATGATGATGACCGATTATCACGAATCTGAGTCATCTGAGTCACCACTTCTGTAAGCTGTGTCAGCTTATCAGTCAATGCCTCAATCTTCTCAGTGGAAGCATCATACATTTCTCGGCGAAAGCCCCCAAATGTTGTAGGGTTCGGGACAGATATGAACTAAGTGGTGATTCTAGTGCTCAGATGAGGTAACACAACCCAGAGGGACTTTAGTATAAGTTGTTGGATGAAGTAGTGAGGTTGGAGTGACAAAGAGGAGCGCCAACAGCTGGAACAGCCACCAACTACGACCAGCCTCCCCGATTAGCTATGGATTGAACAGAGCACGCAAGTACAAATGACTGCGCAAGATCCCACTACATATGATTCATCGAGAAAATCACAATCACATTGAGATGATCATTATTCCGTAATGTTCACCTTTGAGTCAAGGTCTGCCTTGACTGAGCACTGGGAAGACTAATCCTTAACCCAAGAGAGCAGTCTCATTTCTTTTGCAGATGTTCAACAACCTCATGCCTAAACGCTTAACCTTCTTCTGGGCTTTCTTCGCCGGCACTATCACCTTCGGTGAGAGCACTACTAATCGCACACTTCTGAGGGTATTCCATCGTGGAGTCCCACTCGACATTCGTCATATACCAAAAATGATGACACAGACTCTCGCGGCCTCTGATGGAATGATGGAATCTCTCAGTCAAGATGACCATGATTGTGAACGATGCTTCGCGCAAGATGATATGGTCTATGACTTGAAGGCGATAGGCATACAAATTGTGGACTCCAAATGCCCGGTTGGTCACAAACAAATTTTGAACTACTTGAGGAAAGCTAAGAATATGCTGAGCATCGACTTCGATTGCGAGCCCGACTCGAGGGTCACACTGCATCCGACCCTCGCGGCGGACATGGCAACTTGCACTGGTGGCAATTCTGTTCTCGGCACAAACGACCCCGGCTCATCCTGTCAGCCTAACCTCGAGCTTATCCATTTAGGGGCTGCCTGGGAAGCGGCTCGCTCAGCCGGACGGAAGCTGAAGGATGTCGTGTTGGCCATCAGCGACACTGGTGTTGACATGACTCATCCTGACCTGGTTAATCAATTCTGGAGGAACCCAGCTGACAACTCCATCGGTTACAACTTCATAACCAACAGTATTGATGTGACTGATAGACACAGCCACGGTACTCACTGTGCTGGCAACGCTGCCGCTCAGACTAATAATAACATTGGCATCGCAGGAGTGGCAAATATCGATGGCTCAGTACCTAGTGTAAAGCTGATGATACTCAAGATGCTTGATGACACAGGAGGG